TTTCGTCAAAAATCGTCGTAAAAAATTATCGGTACTCCTGCGATCTTTTTAGCGAAACTACGCGACTTTTAATCTCCAATGTATCGCGTTCTCCATCTTATATGTATATATATATTGAACGACTGCTGCACGCGACATCGCGTTCAACGATCATTTTACGGGAAGGAAAAGCATATAATTCCACGCGATTCCAAAGCGGCTCATTCGTCCTCGGTATCGAGGAAGCGATTAAAATTTTGGTTCTACTCGATCCGTGTTTTATAACAAAGGAGGAAAAGTTCTGCGGTATTTTATTTTAGCAGTATACAAAATTGTATACCGTACATTAAAAAATTTAACGCCATTCGATTCGATAGAGCAAAGTTTCAGCTTTAAGAATCTGATTTCTTAATTACGCCGATTTTTAACGGAGTTATAAGTAACTAAAATTAAAATGTTCCCTTATTTAACTCGCGAATAACTCAGGAACAAAAAATCGTAGGAATATCTTTTAAAAACAAATTTTTAGCCAAAAATTTAAACTTTTACGTTAGGTATAGTCGAAAATTTTCGCAAATTTTTTCCTAATACATGGCAGACCCACAAAGTGAGATGGAAAATTACCCTTCCTTTCAGCAATTTTCTATATGTAAAAATTATCAAATTCACATGAACTAAAAAATTATAAAAGAGCCTTTTGAAAGTAGAAATTTTAAAAGCGTTAAAATCTTTTTTCAAATTTAAATTTTGTTCGTTTTTGACGAAGATATTGTAATATAGTTTTGAGCTATCAAAAACTAGAACTTCTCCTCCAATCTGTACAGCATTAACGACGTTAAATAAACGCGACACATATATAGAGAAATCTGTATCTTTTTACAGATTATATAAATTATATAGATTTACGTTACAACATTTACCAACCTTAGCAAATTAAAAACCTCTTGTTTTAGTAAAAATACGCGCTTCGTTCAAATCCGGTCCAAAAAAATCACCATAAACGGTAATAATTAAATCATTAGATATAATATATGTATGTGCAGTATATATGATATATTGCCGATAATTTTCAATTTAATTAAATTTTACGCATCAGCGGCTTCCTTTTTTATCGTCACGCAAGAAATCTATTGACATTTGCTGATAAATAAGAGTGCCTGACTTACCAATCCGATTTCCGTCACACAGCTGAGACGATAATAACACCTGAAAATGTCATTTATATTTATCTCACGTTCACACAAAAGTAGACTTCAATTTAAATACATTATACAGTTATTTGAATTTTAGATTAATTAAGGTAATTTTATCCATACTTCAATCATTCGATGAAATCAGATAAACAATGAAATCTCAAAAGTAATGATAATAATATATGATAATATTGTGAAAATAAGAAGCGCAAACCTGTTTGCGAAGAGCCTGATTGAGGGAATTCAAATTGTAGATTCTTGGAACGATGATCGTGTTTAGATGACTTAGTTCAACGGTAATCGCCGTACGAAGTATTTACGTCACAGGCTGCCATAATTCCATCCGGTATGTTAGCCGCGTGAATGACGTTAATGATGACGCTGCAAGTAAAGACAATGGAACGTATAAGTGATTGAAGGTGCTAACAATAAAAATAAGGACGCGTGCGCGTCTCTCGTTCGCCTTACTTGAATGCGGCCCGCAAACGTTTTCAATAAAATTGCGACGTTACACGCAACATTACAAACTACTCCTACCTGTAACATTTTGCGGTTATCAATGCGATAAATTACGCTTTTACCTTAAAGAAATTTGAAAGATTCGAAGCGCACCATTATGTGTTTACAATCGACAAATCTCGGCCAACAGCGCTGATAAAATTTAATCTGATGGGCCTTCTACAATAAGCCGTAACTCACAAATCATAAGTCATAAGCTAGAAATGGACCAATCACAGTCGTCAATTTTTAGTTTCTTACTTCCGATTTATGACTTATGGATTATTGTAGAAGGCCCATATAAGCCATTACTTAAGTTTTAAGTGTTAAATCATAAGAAATTTACCAATCGCAATCGAATGTGAGAAGAATAATCGACTGCAGAGTGGTCAATTTCTTATGACTTAATACTTAAATAACTTAGATAATGGCTTTACTGTAGAAGGCCTATGACTCTTCACACGGAATCTGGAGAAATCGATGTGAATGTTTTCTAAGATGTAAAATAATTCGGTTGTTAAAAGTGTTGCTTCCATCACGTCGGAGCGTTTGCCGCAGATGATCGATATAGCTGACCGCTGTTTGGAAATGACGATGAAACGCGATTGTATCTCCGTTGCGCTTATTAATTGAAACCCTCCGCGGGACGTATTTTTAGACATTGCGACCAGCTTAAATATTGGACTCCGGTTTTGCAATGCTCCGATGGACCAATTGAATACAATGGACATATCATCATCTGTTTCCTGATCGTAATATATTATATATAAAAAAATCTGACAAATTCGAATCGATTGAGATTGGAAAGCAGATTGATCTTTGGAGGCAGAAATTACGTTTGATCAAGAAGTTTCTATCAGATGGATTTATTTTCCAGAGGAAGCGAAATTTTAGGGGAAAAAGCATCTTTCTACGAGATATGATGCGGAAATATGTCCGATGAAAACACAATTTTGTAATCATTATAGAAACGTTCAAAAGAGAAGAGAGCGCTTGAAAATAAACAGAAGCGATAAAATAATAATTTACGCGCCCATAACTAAGTTTAAATCCGTGCGAGTGAATGTTTTAGAACCGTCTACAAAGAAATCGATACATTATTTTAACGGAACGAAGCAGGATTACTAGTAGTATAACCGAATTATTATATATGTATGAATAATGTATCGCAAAAAGTGTTCGCGATGCGTTCGCCGGATGCGTCGCAGTTTTTCAGAGGTAAACGAGAGAGGGGACCACATGAAAGATCCGTCCACCACCGCACCACCGGTTTAAAGGGTATCACCGCATCGATTTCACAGAGGACTTTCGAGGTCAATGACGTATTACGCTCGTACGTCTCGATGACACCCTCTCGATGGGCAGAGAGACAATTCCACACGTGCGAAAACCTGAAAAATCCTCACCCGCGCGAAAAGAAAGTATGCGAGAGAGGAACGCAGAAACGCCCACGTATACGCTCGCGTTGCCTCTCCTCGCGAGCGAAACCAGTCGATATTAGAAGCGACTATACATACTCACGTTCATGACGGAGAGGAGCAGCTGGTGGCCGTGCCACTCTCGCACAACCGACGCGTACATTAAGACATCGCGGCGACGGCTCGCTCTCTGGCTCTTTCGTTAAAATTCGATGTTAATTCGAACGACAACACGTTGCACGTTATTGGCCGATTGTCGAATCTTCGGGCGCGGGACACACTTTCGCAAAATGTATATTCTGAGTCACTGGAATCGAAGGCAGAAAACCCCTCCCTGGCCGCCGCGACAACCCTCGTGCGATTGCGAACGCGCATGTCTCTGCGAAAAGGGGATGATCCCCCTTTCCACTCCAAGATTCTTTTCCTTCGTACGTCCTACGAAGACGTGAGGACGATTGTCCATCCAGAATTAATAAGCCCGATTTTCTTGGCGCTTGTATTCGGCATAATAATATACTGATGTCTGCGAATGTGTTTTATTATTTCTCTCTCGCATCATCGTCGAAAGAAATTAATGAAATAAACTAAAGTTGAATAAAGAGAAAGAAACGTTTCACGCGACAAAAGAGATTCAAATTGAGCGTAAAATAGTTATTTGTTTATCGAAATCTTTCCTTCTTGATCCGCACATCATTATTTATAGATTATTTGCTTCGATTAAGTTACATATATTAAATACACGGAAAAGCAATTTCATTCAGATAAATAGACCCTCTCTTATCTCTCGTAGCTGTGAAATATTTGCGACAACATTAAGATACTGACGATCAACTTAACTGAATAGTTTTTTCATTTTTAATTGAGCGGAATTAGATAAATCATGTTTGCGTTAAAACTGTTATTGATTCTTGATAAATGTATAATTGCATGTTGAGAGAGAGAGAGAGAGAGAGAAAACGAGATTAAAGATTCATTTAATTGATGATTGTGAAGAAAGATACAATTATTATTTTGATTTGTTAAATAAAATGTTTATTTAATTAACAGATACAGTGGTTCATACTGTACTCGTATTAAATTTACAGTTACGATATTATATACAATATAGTTTTAAGAAATTCTAAGCAAAATCATGTGATTTCACATTATCAAATCATTTTTTAATTATGGAATATCTTATTATTATTCTACTGAACAAATGTGTACAAGACGGATGTACAAGATATCTTTATAAAAAAATAGAAATTTCTCACGATATGTAACGACGCACAAGCACAATACTTGAAGACAATACTAAATATATATTTATAGAAAAATAGTCTACTTATGTGCTAAGTACGCTGAAATATTAAACTTCACATAATGATTATCATTATGTATAAGCTTTATAACCTTAATTATCTACTCTTTTTTAAAATGTCTCTTTGTATCGATTATATGTACAACATATATCATTCTCTTAACCGTGCTATATGACGGGAATAATAAACCAGTCATTGAGGTCATTTGGCATTACAAATCAGTGAACGCATACACACACACACACACACACACACATGTACACAATAATCACATTTTGTGCGTGTGCGTGTGTGTGTGTGTGTTAAATTATTATATGATATAGGTATGCAAAACTTGCAATCGCATTTTTTAGGATTCTTTGTGCCCAATACTATTCATACAAATTGTTATAATTACTCTAGAATAGGATAATTGGTAAATCGATCGAGAAATATATCTAATGTCAAAAACTTTTCTAATATTAAAGGAATAGCTCATTCCTGGATGAGATTTGGAGGTAGAGATACAAGGCAAATGTGATTGAGTTGATTGATCAGTTAGTAATATGTCGAAAAAAATATACATATAAGGAACATTATTAAGGAATGCATGATGTCGAATACTCCAAAAAACAATTAGAAAATAATTCCCTAATCAGAGAAATTGTTGCGATAATAAGTTACATGATCAAATTCTCTTATTACCTAAATGCGAAAAATAAATATGTTTAACAAAAATGTATACCACTAAACGTATCGTCTATTTTTTGGCGTTTTACGACATCTTCGTCTTCCAAAAATCGCAATGATACAGATGACTATTATCGCAACGAGAACTGCGCTTATGGCCCATACCGCTTTACTAGTACTAATCTTTGGCGTGCTATTTTCTGTGCCGTTCGAAATATCGGGCACCAACGATGCTTCATTAAAAGAGATTTGAGTTGTGAAGTCGGACCCAGAATTTTTCGACTTATCTTCCACGTATATAGACGATTTAGATTCCAAAGATTTTTCTACTTTTGATTGCATATTTTTCGAGTTACTTGTTATCTTGTATGATGTTGCTTGTGTTGTTATTCTGTGTGTGGTAGTCGGAGGCGTTGTAGGAGTGTTGATCTCTCGCAAGATACGTTTCTCCAATTCTTCAAGTTCTTTCTCTGCTGTCGCTCCAGATTTGTATTCGAAATTTTCTTCGTTTTCTTCAATAAATTCTTCTAGTGGTGTAAAATACTGAATAAGCGCATCCGCAGATATATCGTCTATGTCAACGAATTTATTTAGAGTATCCTGCCACTCGCAAGCTCCACTATGTTGAATCATTTTTCTATATATAAACATAGCAAAGTTAATAAAAATTAAAATTAAAAATTTATCAAACAAATTTATTCACAGAAATGCATTAAGAACATGTATATACGTATATTTTTTATATCAACTTACATTATATTGTTATTTATTAATTTCCCATCCAAATTATATCTAATTTCTGTTGAATCCATGTTATATTCATATAATTGAAAAGATAGCATTATTCCAAGAATTTTGCTATATTGATAGAAAATATTTTTCATTATTTTGCTGTGATAGATAATATAATTATATATATCTATAAACTGATTAGTAGATATACTTACGAAAGATATGGTTTATTTCTAACAATGTGACTATCGTCTATGAAGGTAGGGTAATCAGTATCAGTAGAAGAAATACCTTCATATTCTTGCCTAACATAGAAAATGAAAACTTCAGATATTATAGTTCGGTAAATAATATATCAATTTCTAATAAGTGTTTATACCTACCTATAATTCCACCAAGATGTTATCAAGTCTGTAGGCTCTGTAATATTTTCTCGAATTGCATTTAATCTCCATAAATCAGCGGAGTAATAATATGTTAATCGTGGGAGTATATTTAAAGCAGTTATCATTAAAGATACAATCATTCGTTCCTCATTATCTTTACTATTCATTAAATGAGTATGATTGAGCCATGCAGGACTTGTCGATAGTATTCCAAATAGTGTCGATATACCTTCTTCTAATCCTATAAGATCAGATAGATATCTTTAATGTTGAACTATTTTAACATTCAATTGACACATATGTTTAATAAATTAATATTTGTGTTTAATACAATAAATAAATTAATTAATTAATATTTTCTTACCTGAATATCTGTTTACTGTATCAAGAACTGGAGTGTTTTCTATGGTCATTTGATTAAATAGTACTTTACCAACATCTTCATGTGCTATCAAGAAATTGCTTATTGTGGCTTTGGAACAAGTAGAAACTCTAAAATAATGCTTCAATTTAGCAATATACTATTAAATTGTGTGATGTTATAAATATAAATAACACTAATGTAAGTAAACTTTAACCGAGACAATATACATGTCTAAAAGATATTATAAATTAACAATGATAATAAATTTAAAACTAATATATAGTTATAGTCTCCTTTTAATTGATAAAAAATAATAAATAAAAATAATGTATACAATATAAAGACTATAGGAGTCACCGTTGGTTGTATATTAGCGATATTTAATATAATTTAAGTAATGGTTAGATGTAATATCTAATATATATAAACCTTGAACGTTTCAACTGTAATTCCAATCATTTTCAGCAATACAATTTAATCCAATTAACGCAACAAGAGATATTGCATTGCAAAATAACATTGTCTTCGACAATTCTTGCATGCATTACATGGTGGCCTCATAAGGCGATTAGATATTATAAAGATATTTCTTAGATATGAATATTGTCTGGAAAATATATGAGATTATAGATTTCGATATACATACCTCATTGTACCATCTCGACAAAAGTTTAACAATCTAGATGGACACTGTTGATTAAATTCACTCTTATCCCAGAATTCTGCTTGCGGGACTTGTTTCAATAGTAATGATCCCAAACTAGACGCAATCTTGTATAGAGATTTTCCTACATATTTCTATATAATTTAACAAACAAATTCAAGTGTTTCTATAAGAATCTGATTATAATCTATAAATTTATATACATAAACATGAAACAGTAATCTCTACCTTCCTCCAGAGATTTTTCTTGAGATCATAGACTAACTCTGAGTAGGGTAACGCATCTGATGATATATCTGCCCAATTGTATCCTTGTAAGCTATCTTTCGAATGAAACCATATAAATTCAGTTACACAGTAGAATAAAAAATAAAAGTTACAAAAATTAATAATTGTATGCTATTTTTACGTATACTATTGTTATCTTACCAAGTAAATAAGCCGGAAGTGTATCATTTATAGTAACATTGTACTTTCGAGCCAAGTTTGTACCGATAAATTTTACAATCTTCTTGTGAAGATTATTAATCCGACTCCACTCACTAATTATTTTGTCGTATCCGCCAGAATATCCTGACAACATTTCCCAATATTCCTCAACACTTTCGACACCTACAGTTAAATATATTTGATTATTATTATTATTCAAAACATTTAACACACACACTGATAATTTGTATTTTACATACAAATTATCTACGTAATATATCTGTATTTACGCTGACCGTTTTGTTTTGCGGCTTCGGCAACGAGTAGCAAATTGTTTGAATAATTTGTTATTAATGGTATAAATTGGCGATACCAAGAATTCCAAGCTGTTTGTTTATCTTCTAGTTTTCTACTATGAGAGAGTAAGTATTCCATACCTAAAGTTACATAATTATAATAGTTGTATTATACAGTTTGTTTACAACTACTATGTGAATCTCTATCATAATATGGGTCATATATTAATGAAAAAATTATTCTTATTTTTAATACGTGATATGTTTTATGTGTGATTAAAACAATAAAACTATACCTTCCCGTGAATAGTTTTGCGATTTATTAATATAATTAATAATTGATCGCTGCAATTCCACGATGCCAGCAAAATGTATAAACTGTAAGTTATAAAATGATATGAAGTATTAAACTATTAATTGTAAAAATAAAAATAGTCTCTTACCTTCTTCCAATCTTCGTTTTTTAGTAACGTGTCACCAGGTTTCTCAATCATGTCATATTTGTATTGAAGAGATGACTTCAGCTGTTCTTTTGTATCTTTTATTTTATCGATTATTTCATTTTTTCGCGTTTTCGTAAATTCTGTATAATTATTTTGCTGTATCTCCTATAAAATATAACAAGACAGATATATTGTTTAATTTATTATTTATATAAAAACAAATCATTATCATGCATTAAGCAATAACTTAAATAACAATATACTTACCCACATTGACAGTGTTTTATTGGAAGGTGACAAGATAAATGACCACTGAACATCGGCAATGTTGTAACATACATCTTCATAATCTAATTCGATTAGTTCGAAAAAAGCTTTAGCTTCATCCTCCAAGAAAATTTCTTTGTGTGGGGCAGTGGTTACATAGACAATAAGATTAAAAACAATCCAACTCCATTTCGATAACATCTCTTTAGTCTGCAAATAAAATGTTTGTGTTTTTATTTGACATTCGAAATTAGTACAATGGAAATTGTAGCAGGCACATGTAGTATAGGAATGTATTATCGACTTGTTGATCAAAAATTTAACTTTTTACCAGCAATATTGAACTTTAAAGGCATAGTCAATGTTTTAATCAAGAATTTTGATAAATACGAGTATAAATCTAAAAATAAGTAAAAAAAACTAAGTAAAATGCAATCCAATTTTTCTATGATAGTAACAACTTGTTGTTAAAGCTTTCACACGTACATAAAAATTTTTTTTTATTTTTATATAGTCTAGAAGGGTATAAAAATCTGCATTGCGGTTCAAAGAATATTGGGCATAATAAATCGCATATATATGTTAAAATTGCGCGTCTTTATTTATCAAGAAAGTTAATTTCTAGAGATTCTATTATCTATTTATGCAACGTTTTTAGCAACATAGATTAACTTTATGTCGGTTTAATTTACTCTTTACCCTTTCCTAAGAACTATTAGTGTTCATAGAGATCAAATAATGCATTCATAATTTCGAAAGAAATGTATAAGTAAGCATTTATTGTATATGGCGCAGGGTATATCTAAGGGTGTGTCGTAATATTATTTCTGGAGACACGCTAGTGTCTTGGTGAAATATTACTCGGCAAGTGAGTTAGTCATTTGTGTTGCTATTGATCACGATGACACATTCCCTTTTCACTTCTTCTTTTTGTCGTTGCAAATTAGCTTAACTAATTTTTAATAATGTGTATTACAACATTATTACTTGGAATTTTTTATTATTGGACACTTTACAGTTTACATATTTTTCTTATATAACTCTGACAAGGTAAATAACTTTTATATTAACAGTTCATATTTTAGATTAAAGATAGTTAATTTTCTTTTTTTTTATTTTTTTCTGTTAGATTAATTATGCTTACGTTACCGATATTTTTTACTAGAAACTTACATAGAATTAAGAAGACGGCTTAATTTAATCAAGATTGTATATGCAGTAAATTTAACTTATAATAATTATGTACTTTATATTTTATGTAATATTGAAAATGACTCGATCGGAATCGAAACGTTTGTTTTTGTAATATTCATATCATGATTATTTGAATTAAAGTTGTTAAATTAATTGGCTTTTTGCCCTCTTTATATTTATACTTATTTAGAATTATTATATGACAACGAGTTGTTTAAGCGTACTACAGCTAATAGAGATGTAATAAGTTATTTCGTAATACAACAAATTATGGTCAACTGGAATGAATGTTGATTTTTAACAAGTTTGCAATACATATATGTAGACGTAATAATTTAATAATTTACTGCAAAAAATATATTGGGAAAAATTAATGAAGAAATTGATCATTAATTTTGAAACTTTAAAATAACATTCCAGTTTAGTAATGTACAAGGTAATGTATGTGCGTAAGAAACGCAAGCATGCAAATAAACTTGTAAATATTTTGAAAGCTGACAGAAATAATAGAATATATATGTGGAGAAACATAGGCGAGTTCAGATACGACTCTTCGTTAAGTCTGTCTCTAGTTTGAAGTTATTTACAAATGTACTTAGCGCAGAAAATTGTAATCAAGCCAAATTCCTGAATGTGGTTTAAAAGATAAATAGATAGATAGATAGAGATAGATAAATAGAGAGAAAGGAGGGAGAGGAGAGAATGAAATTTATCGTATACCACGCGCATGCTTGGATCGTCGTATTACTGATTGTGAGGTATATTTTTATCTCGTTACCCTCGCAAAGAGTTACGCTCTTTTACGAGGGTAACACGACGCGATTCAAGAGTTACCTTTTCTGAATGAATCAATCATGAACGAAATTAAAGAGAACGAAAAGAAAACAGTTTTTGCGCGTCCAACTTTTAATGCTTCCTGGCATCTCATAGTGTTATGTCTTTTCTAAAAAAATGTTTAGAGTGACCTTTTAGCAGGAATCATTTTCTTGAATAATTCAAAAGCCTAAAAAAACTTACTCTTTGTTTAAATTTTTGTCTCTTTATATTTATTATATCTAAAAAAAGTATATTATATAATTATTATGTAAACTTTATGTATATATTACATAAATGAATAATTAAAGCGATTTTGATATATTCATATTTTATTTTTTACACGTTTTTAATGACCGATTTAATGAACGTTTTTTCTGTTTTTTTCTGTTGCAAGTTTCCGAGTAAATTTCCATTTATACATAACGTGAGTTATTTAACTACATACAAAAATAATTTCATATTTAATACGTAGCCCTCATTATCATTATGATGAATCAATTATCGCACTGAACCAAATACTGTACGTAAATACAATATAAAATATCAAAACATATCCTACAGGCCATAGGAGTCCCCCGCTGGTTGTTAGGTTGCGAAATAATTATGCATCTTGTAAATTCAAACTTCGTACGTTTCGACTTTATTTTAAGTCATGGCACTCATTAAAGCAAAAAATCGCCTATCCACTTCAGTTACTTACAATATAAAATATTTATTGAATTAGGTAATAAAAATTGATCAATAAATTCTCACAATAACTTAGATCACAAAAAACTATTACTACAATTCATTGCAAGAATAAATATGTAATTATATTAATAAATCCAATTATTATATTAATTAAATTAATTGAACATTAAATTGAATATTGATTGACAATCATTCGTTAGATCAAAATTATTTTCAGTGCGTGTCTTTGAAATATAATATTTCGTAAATACATACTTTTCGAGAATTAGTTGACGGAAATAAAGCGCCGTAAAGTGTAAACATGCACAATAGAGATTATAGTTATCTGGAAGGATGACAAAATAATTAATTGGCAACGAAATGTAAATATAGAAATTTAGAACAGCTACGCATGTACATCAATCGCTCAATCAACAATACATTCAATTGTTGATCGAATACATTTTGAAAAAAACAAAAGTATTTCCGAAGGAAAGCAAACCTCAGATATTATACAGTAATCTTCATTTTGCAATTTCTTCCCACATTCTTCGCGATTGATATAAAACAAGTCTGTATGCAGATTACGAGGCAAGAATAATGAAGAGGAGGTAAAAAAAATGTCGAAAAAAACTTGGGAGGGTATATATCTACCTTTACGGGCGTCCGTGGAGCGCCGTTGATTCCCACGTCTCAGCGTCGCTTTCGCTCCGAAACACACGTCAAACAGAAATGGTCCGAATGTCCGAATATGTGAGCAACGAGAGCCGACAAAGAGAAAGGATTGTCTCACGGTGGTCAAAGTACGTCAAACGATTAGTCGTCGAAGGAGAGAGAGAGGAGGGTCCACTGATTGACGGGACTCATGCACTCGCGCGGCGCTTGAAGCTTAATAGGCCCAGGCGGTATGTGTCACGTTATCGAAAAATATATCCGTACTTTGACGTCGCCGTCACCCGCTCGGACGTACAGTCCAGGCTGTGTATTGCCGCTGATCGCCGCGTATGACTGACTTGACTGCTTTTGCCAAGTGCGACCGCGATCGATCGGAATGTCTTCGCATCACGCCACTACTTATTTCCAACGTCAGTGCATGACGAGGCGTATCTCGCATTCGCGTCAATTCCGCGCGTGTCTCGCGGTAACTCACATATCCGTCCCTGTAACTTCGCGTATATTATGCGTACGTGCTTCAAGTGCGTTATGCGTAATGCCAGTACCTGCAAATATCCGTTCGTCTTTGTCGCGCTGATGCGCTCCCAGCGATCACCTTCAGATCATCTGCGAATCGTACGATGCGTGATGTGACCAATCCGGCTGCGACGAATGTCAATAAATGTATAAATGCATACAAATGTATATACTTAAAATACACCGCGCTCGCTGCATCCGCTCCTTCCGTTTCATCTGCGCCCATTTGCTCGAAACGTCCGAAATGGATACTTCGAACGGAAAATTATTTTGACATGAGATTTCGGACGAACACATATATATGTTGTTAATTTTTGCTTTATTAGCGATATCTTTTGTAACTCGATACTCTAAATCGGTATAGAAGAAAACGTATTTACCGGGCATCGATATTGTCACGCAACTCTTTTATCGACGTCCAAATTTATTAATTAACTTCGAATCGGTAATTTCGATTAGATTATATATAAAAAAAATTTGAAAAATTATGCTACTTATTATTAAGCAAGAATATTTCTTCATAAATTTTAATAGGGGAGCGGAAAAATGCTTAGTTATTTTTAAAACTCGCTACCTGAATTATTAGGAGTGTGCTTTAGTTATTTTGCTTTTGAGAGTTATTCAAGTGATGAAAATATTTTGACTAAGGCATTCGTTTATCTCTTAAAAAACCTTTTTTTAAAAAAAGAAAAAACATATAAATATAAATATACAAAAAAAGAGATAAATATAATTGACCAATTGACCGTGTATTCTTCATTACGCCAGTCACATAAGACAGACCGGAAGTGACTATAATTGTCAACTGGATTATAGTGAAGAAAAAACTTGGCGTGCCCGGGTCGCATTAATTGTAAACAGTATGCAGTGAAAACATTATTATTTCAACATAGTATTTGCAATATAAATTAAAATAACAGACATATGTATACAGATATAATATATATATACGTATAACATAGTGATATAATTTTTGTGAGACATGAAAATATATTCACAAATAATAGATGTGATGTAAATTATGGATGGACAAATATAATATTTAGATATATATTTTAGAAACATTATTATGAATAACAACTTTTTATGTTCAGTAAGCAATTATTCACATCTTTTCTTTGTTGAATTATTGTTTTCGCATATATAGTGTATACATGCAGAATATTGCGATAGAATCAAGATTCTAGAATATTGCGTTTTAATGCGACCCGGGCACGCCAAGTTTTTTCTTCACTATAATCCAGTTGACAATTACAGTCTCTTCCGGTCTGTCTTATATGACTGGCGTAATGAAGAATACACTTGGTCAATTATATTTATCTCATATCTGTTTTTGATCAAGAAGTTCAATATCTTTTTTATGCACTTGGCGTATGTTTTTTTCTTTTTTCAAAAAAAGGTTTTTTAAGAGATTTCACCGCTTTTTGTAAATTTTGAAAATGTGCTATAATAATGTAGGAAATTTAAATCCTCTAAAAATAAATGCAGATTCTATTTCTAAAATAGTTATCGGGACTCGGTCTCTAGATCTCGGTATCGGCTGCACCAATTTTATTCGGACTGGTCGCAATCGAAGGGTACCGCATGACATTATGTAATAAATGTGTTTTTAGATTTGTGATTGGGCTTTTAAATTCCGAGTAATTTTAATCTAAGATGTGAAAACTCGAGATACAGCTAGTGGTAGCGTCGTGAATTTGATAGCGACATGAACATATACACGATGACGTTCACGCATCAATCAAGCGATCATGTCAAGTCAAGCAGTCAAGCGGTTATATTTTTATTTTATGCACTTCGCGTCGTGACGCTACCGCGTCACTTGATAATAAACATTAATTATAATTAATGTTAATATTATATAACTATATGTTTATAATGCTTATTATTAATGATTATCATTGTTATATGTTTCTCTCTCTCTCTCTCTCTCTCTCTCTCTC